GTACCTCACTAACAACGAAAACTTTATTGATTGCCAACAAATACAAGAGAACTCACAAACACAAAGTGTTCTCAAGTATACAAACTTATGACTCTCACAACTTTCACATACAAAACTCTATCCCACATCCATCTATTTATACTAACAGATGTCCTAGGTTTACACAAAATCCCTAGAATATAGGAAACCAAATCCTATACTAAAACCAAATCTCAAACCAACACAAATCCAAATATCTTGCGTCCAAGATCTCCCAATCCTTTTTAGTTTAGGCATGTTGATTTAATGCCAGATCCAACAATCTCCACCTTGGCATGAAATCCATGACGAGGCATCAAACAACTTACGTTGCTCCACCATATTGCAAGATCAAACTTGCTTCAACTGCACCAAATCCAAGCAGTGCTCGAACTTAGCTGCATTAACCATTTTTGTCAACATATTAGCTGGATTATCTTCTGTAGCAACCTTTTTTAGACGAATCTCACCTTCAGTTACCACTTCTCTCACAAAATGATATCGTACATCAATGTGTTTAGTCCTACCATGATGTACCTGATATCTGGCAAAATAAATGGCACTTTGTCTGTCACAATATACATCCAACTTGCATTGTTTTACACCTAAATCTCCTAACAACCCCAGAGTCCACATTGCTTATTTGATAGCTATAGTGATTGCCATCTACTTTGCTTCTGTGGTTGATAATGCCATTGTTGGTTGTAATATTGATCTCTAGCATATAGGACCCTTTGCCATAGTAAACACATACCAGTCGTCGATCTTCTTTTGTCTAAGTCTCCAGCAAAGTCTAAGTCCACATATCCCACTAAGAACTTATCAATTCCTTCATCACATTTTTCAAAACAAATACCTTTGTCCGTCGTTCCAAACACTCGTAGCTTATCGTAATCCTGAGCTGGTTCTCCGAACCACACTTCAATGGGTGTTCTACCCTCTAATGTTGTTGATGGTAGTTGATTAAGCACATAACATGCATAGCTCAAAGCTTCTGCCCCGAAATCTTTTTGGCAACTTAGCTTGAGATAACATGCAACGAATTTTCTCGAGCAATGTCCTATTTAGTCTTTCTGCAATCTCATTCTGCTGTGGAGTATGTCTAACACTGAAATTCCGAGTAATCCCTTCCTTTTTACACACTTTGAAGAAAAGGATCAGAGGTATATTGTAATACCCTGAAAATTTTAAATATATGAATATGTGGAGAAAATCAAAATAAATCGATTGATGAATTTGAAGAATTAAATCGAGAATATAACTGAGCTTTTATATGATTTTCCAAGAATTTATAATAAATTGTGTAAGTTTAGTTTTAAATTAAACTAGTTACGAGGTTTAAAGTTTGGACCTTAATTGTTTAAAATACGTAGACCTTTCGAGGTCAAAATTTATATTTTTGAATAGAGCTCGACCTAACGAACGCGTAGGCGCAAACCGTTCGTGAAACGGAGTTAGAACGAAGAAGTTATTAACGTTTAAAGTCGGGAATAAAATTGTAAATTTCCTATTACTAGAATGCTGCAGATTTTTGGAGCCAAATCTGGAAGGCCACGTGTGTGGCCCAGATTGAAAGTAAGAAAAGTTAGGCGGTGGAGATGGAAAATAAAGGAGAGAAAGGAGGGAGAGATGGGCGAATCAGAAAAGGGGAGGATGAGAGGTGACCAATGAGAGAAGAGAGAAAGGAGGAAAAAGGAGAGGATGGGGGGAACGGAGGATCCCGTGACCCAGATGGCCAAACCCGACCCGGTCGGGTTTCTCTCCTATTTTCCGACGAAATTAGCCATTTTTACGGTGACATTACCTCAAATTAACCATTGTAAAACCCTCCATGACCTTCCTTCTCCCTAATACACCTCGAAATTTATGTAATTTGGCTTCGGATTTGGGAAAAACAGCACCGGTGGGTGCGGTGAACTCGTGACCTTGTTTCCCCAATTATCAAATGAATCCATCAAATTAATACCACAATTAGATTCCCCTTGAGATCTGGAACAAAGCCCATTCATTGGTTGGGGCATCGGAGTCGCTATGGAGTCGAATTGAGGACACCCAAATTCTAGGGTTCCGACGGGTTTTGATGAAATTGGAGCCTTTCCAGGCACAATTGGCCTCGGTTTCAGGTATGAAAGTTTCTCTACTCATTGAGATCTTCATTTATGTAATTTTTTAGAATTTTTAGGAATAGTTGAATTTTCCGACGAGTTGGGCGGCCGACCGCCACCTGCGGCGGCAGGGGCGGCGGCGCACGGCCTGGGAGCTGACATTTGCGTTGTTATATGAATTTCGTTATTTTAAGTAGGTTGTTTTTGATCTAATTGTTATGGTTTAAATATTAATATGATTGTGGTGTATGTGGGATTAAATGAATAGTTTGTATTTGGTTCGGAACTTTGAACTTTTGAACTACGAAAGGCTTGATCCCTGTTGAGGGTACGTAGGCAGTCTAACAAGATGTTAGATGCAGCCATAAAATATGTGAAGTTAAATTAATTCAAGAATAAAGGTTACATAATGGAAATTGGAGCATAAAAGAAATGGTACTAAATTGGAATTTAAGTTGGATGTTTTGGAATACAAATTGCTTGTGGGATGAAGGATTAGAATTGAATTGATTTTTATTTTGGGCGTATCACTAATATCATTATTTATAGAAATAAAATAAATATTTCGGGACCGGGGCGTTACATATATTCCCTTCCATTATCACTTCTCATTATCTTAATATTCTTTCCAGTCTTGTTCTCCACCATGTTCTTCCATTCTAGGAAGATGTCAAGAACTTCGTCCTTTCGTTTCATCATATATATCCATGATCTGCGAGAGTAGTCATCAATAAAAGATATATTTTACAAACCATTTTTTTCCACCTAAAAAAGCATTCTTTGCAAGCCCCCAAACATCAAAGTGAACATAGTCCAAAATCATTTTCGTTTGATTAACAGCTGAGCCAAATTTCACCTTTGTTTGTTTGCCAAGAACGCAATGCTCACAAAAATTTATCTTTCCAGTTTTTGCTCCTTTTAAACACCCTTGCTTGATCAATCCTTGTAATGCTTTTTCTCCTACATGTCCCAGCCTTATGTGCCATAATATAGACAAGTCATTTTTATCACTTTGCACTTTATCAACTACCATAGCCACTCTATTTTCCAAAGTCTTTCCTTGTAGCATATAAAGTAAGCTATTCTGAGGCCCTTTCATTATGACAAGTGTTCCTTTAGCAACTTTGAGCACGTTGTTATCGGAGTAAAACTTATAGCCTTGTGACTCGAGAATGCCTAGTGAGATCAATTTTTTCTTCAGATTTGGGATGTACCTTACACCATGCAGTTTTCGAATCACACCATCATGATGCTTGATCCTAAATTCTTAGTTACTAGGTAACCAAAAGAACGAAACTCTATGAAATAGACGCGAGCATAGTCGCTCAATATAATAGACACACCTAATTGTTATGAGACTCACAACAAACAACACACCAATTGCGTGGTTTTTTTTTTTTTTTTAACAAACGATATTATCTACACTAAGGGATGAGGGAGTAGGCTAAGCATCACAATGAACTAGCAATAATGTGGTTCAAATTCGCCTTTGGCGAGAATTGAACCTAAGATCATTCACTTATCAGTGAATAGTACATTTAACTAAGAGGTGGGGATAAATTAATATCAAATTTGTTATTAATTAGACCGTAGTAGTACGTGGCATGTAGTTAATACTTATTACGTTTAATAACCAGTCACGAGTGTAATCCATGCATTGCAGTTTCCCGGATTTTTGGACTCTTGGGTTTTTGGATTCTGCTCCCACATCTTGTATTGGTCCCTTTTGAGGTCCAATTTGAAGGCCCGCTGAATAAGTCGAAGGATTTTGAAGTCCAAACTTTGAAGGCGTACAAGACAGCTTACAGAAGACTTACAAAGCCTATATAAGAAGCCCGATGTGAGATAATGTGGGTCAGTGAAATCCCAGTCAACAAAAGAAGTTGATTTAGGGCTGGTTTGGTATTGCTGTGCTTTGAAAAAAAACTGCTGTGAGAATAAGTGGCTGTGCTGTGAGAATAAGCGGCTGTGAAATAAAGTCAGTAGAGTGTTTGGTAAACTTTTTTGTGAAAGTGCTTTTGGAAAAAAAAGCAGGATGATAGTGTGTCTTTTCATTAAAGGAGCACCGTAGCTCCGTGTGCTTTGAAAAAACTGGCTTTTTTTCAAAGCAGCAAATAGCAGCTTCAGCTTTTCCTTTGATTTTCAGCTTATTCTCACAGCAGCTTCCAAAATAAGCCATTTTTATTCAGTTTACCAAACACAAAAATGACCCTCAGCTTTTTTTCACAGTGGTTTTTTTTAAAATCACCTCAATCCCGGGAAATTTGGAAAAATAACCAAATTTTAGATCTCATATAGAATTATAACCACCATTTTAATTTTATGATAATTATAACCAAAACTTGATGTAAAAGTATTAATATACCTTTAATACTAGGGTTTCTCATAACAACCACAACACAACCTTTAAACTACCTTAAAATGTTGAGGATTACTGCAGATTGAGGCCACTGAATTAACTTTCTTTTTAATTAGCAAGACAACCTATGAGAATGTTCTTCAGAAGGTACTAATTCCATAGCTAATTATTATTTTTGTAATTAGATACTTCGATTTAGTGTTTCACTGACTAAATTGCATACATTCCAATATATTTTTCCAGTGGATGAAGAAAGAATACGAAATTGCATATGCAAAGTGAATAGTGAAAACAAAAAAGTGATGAAGATTAATTTCTCATTTTAGGATAGTTTAAAGGTTTGTTTTGGTTGTTGTGAGAAACCCTAATATTAAGGGTATATTAGTACTTTTACATCAAATTTTGGTTATAATTATCATAAAATTAATATGGTGGCTATAATTCTATATGGGGTCTAAAATTTGATTATTTTTCCAAATTTCCCCTCAATCCCAAACGGGATCTTAGAACTATTTCTGAAGAGGGACTGCTACTTCTAATTATGTTCCTGTTGTTTTATGGCAAGAAGATTCCGCGCGGTGTGTGTAGGAAGGAAAGGAAACTTCCCCGCAATATCCATGCTATATGAATGTGGAGGGCTGAGGCTTCTCTTCTCCACGTCGCATTTTCTCATAGGGATTAACCTATTATAAAAAACCACTCAAATGGAGATACGGCGACGGCGACGGCGACGGTTGGGGAACATCGAATTTTCGATGGGTGGTGTCCTTTGTCGAGCGGTAGAGGTTGTGAACGATACGGATCCGGGCGTGGAGCTTGCGATGACGGAGGTGGAGGGCAATGAAACGCAGGGCACAGAGATTCTTAGGCTCGGACCTGGGGAGAGGAGAATGATCAAGGGCCGCCAGTTCATAAAACGAAGCTCGATTTCTAAAGTGCACCGAAGCATTCATGTCACTCCCGTGCTTGCCAGCGGCGAACGAGCGAAAAAGGTCTTGTCGGCAAACCATTTTGCTCGGCACGGGAAGGTCACATTCCGGATAGTGGAAGGGGAACTGACAAACGACTCGGTAGAGATCTCCGATCTCCGCCGCTTGAGGTGAACATTAATTAAACTTTCTGAGAGCTTATACTCAAACTATATTTGCGATGATATCGTATCGATTCATGACCTAAATTGTATGTGTTTTGCTTGTTAGGTTCTCCGCCTGTCTTGGAGGAAACCGGTACATATCTCTTTCCTTTCCGAATAATCTGTGCTTAGCAAGTTTTGCTTTTTACTCTGACTCTGTGTTTTGATTTTCTACTTTGATTTGGTGTTTCGATTTTGCACTTTGGTTTTGTTGTTTTCTGATCTGCTGCGCAAATTTAGGATTTTTTTGTTTGTTTTTTCTGAGATAATATTATTTTCCGGTGAGAACAGTTCCCAAATTTTGTATAATTCGGTATGTCTTCTATATGTGCATTAGTAAAAGGAATTTTCCGAGAGCTTATTATACTCAAACTATATTCGCGATGATGTCTTATCGATTCATGACCTAAATTGTATGTGTTTTGCTTCTTAGGTTCTCCGCCTGTCTTGGAGGAAACCGGTACATATCTCTTTCCTTTCCGAATAATCGGTGCTTAGCAAGTTTTGATTTTTACTCTGATTCTGTGTTTTGATTTTCTACTTTGATTTGGTGTTTCGACTTTGCACTTTGGTTTTGTTGTTTTCTGATCTGTGCTGCGCAAATTTAGGATTTTTTGTTAGTTTTTTCAGTCTTGGTGATTTGTGTCTCTGTTCTGATTTAGATTGCAGGATTGTTGACATTATTTGTGGTTTTTTGAGGTATAGCAACTAGGGAAAGCTCTTCTTTTCGAATTAACAGCTTCTGCTTTGATATTTCCAGTTGTATTGAAACCTGTAGTATTTAAAAGTGGTCATTTGTATTCTAAGATAATATTATTTTCCGGTGAGAACAGTTCCCAAATTTTGTATAATTCGGTAGGTCTTCTATATGTGCATTAGTAAAAGGAATTTTCTCTTTATTGTCATACAGTCTTGTTCACTCCATTGAAACAAGTCCACTATTCTATCTTCCTTTCTTCCTTGTCTCGTCTTTCTCTGGGTCTTCATCGAATGGCTCCTCCTCTTCACTCTCTGGTCTTCAGCGGATGTGGCCAACCTTTCAATTTCCCTGCATCACTTTGTTTCGCAACCTCCATTGTGTTCCTTTTGCCCAATTTTAGTGCATCTATTGTTCTTGAATGACGAAAACCGTTTCCACTTTGAGAAATGGGCGTTTTGTTTTGTTGCTGAGGAAGTTAGATAAATATAAGCTTGATTGGAAATGGAAATCGTATTTGCATATTTGGATTTTGTTATTTTCTTGTATGTCTTTAGCAATGGCTGGTTCGGATTGTTGTATATTTCTTATGCCAGTTACGGTTTGATGTGAACCTTGAGATTAAACTTGCAAATCCATGATTTAGTTGCACTTTAGTGAGCAGGTTGCCCAAACAAGTAGCTGTATAATGCTTCTATTACTTTAAATACCATCACTTCGCAATCCCTTGGTACTTTGAAGTCCCTCAGTTTGTTACCAGCCCTATACATTGGTCTAGTGAATTTTGCCAATGCAGTTCAGCCACATTACTTATCAGCGACACTCCAAAATAGCCACAACCATGGCCCGTCTAAATGTCACACAGCTCCTTAACCACATACAAATTGAGAGTATTTACTGTAGTGCATCACTTTGTTGACTGGGATTTCCCTGACCCACTTTATGGTTTTATGTGAACTGAGTTTGGTGGAAATGGCTTTAGTCGCAAAATGTGTTTTTGTTCATTTAACTTTTCAATTTTGGTGATTTGTGTGTTGGATGATTTTCTTACATGGTTTCTTTTCTGGTTTGGATTGCAGGAGTCGCTGAAGTCCTTGTGCTGTTTTACGGGGTATAACGATATTGGAAAGCTGGTATTAGAAGTCTGAGTTGGAAGAATCTGATTTAGGGGGTGTAGTTAATTTAGATTTCAGAGGATTTTAATGTACTTTTTTAGGTGGCAGATTTCAAAAGAGTTTAGAAAACTCTAGAATTGTATATAGATTTTGATAGATTTATATGGATTATATAATAGATTTTTATTGATTTGCATGGACTTCTTTCATGGATGGATTTCGTAGTATTTTGAAAAAATTGGAAATCACATACAGAGCCGTTAGATCATTTTTAATAAAATCTTATGGCTGATATTAAACTGCATTCATGACCTACTGCACACCAAACGACGCACGCAGCATAAGTACTTGCCTAAGAGAGCATGAGACTGGTGGGGTGTCCTCTGTGGAAAGATTAGAACTTGCCAATATAAGGAATTAGGGTTTAGGGTGAGTCACTTCACCTTGGAAAAAATGGTCGTAAAAATGGTGGCTGCTGTTGTATTCTCCCAAATTCCCTTTTTTCACCAACACGCCAAGATTAGAACAGGCAAAGGGGATTAGAACTTGCCAGAACCCAATAGTTAATTAGGGATTAGAATGGATTTTTTTATTAATTTAGAATTTTATTTGTGAGTTTGGATTGCAGGAGTCGTTAAATTCCTTGTGCTGTTTTACGGGGTATAACGATATTGGAAAGCCGGTATTGGAAGTCTTGAGTTGGAAGAATCTGTTTTCAAATATTTAATCGCATCGTGAAGAAGTGTAATCTTGCAAAATTCAGTGTTTTGATAATGTGGATCTATAAAAGGATTTTAGTTCTTATTAGCGATATTTCAAAGCTTTATTTGCAGTATACCCATATCTGGCCCTGTATGCCAAGCACAGAGGCCATGGATTCTCGATTTGCTTCGGTGCGTCGAGACGTCTGGTTACTGATTTTTCATGCATCATTTCCAACAAAAGCGCCTCTCGAGCTCTGATGTCATATCTCTGCCGTGAAGTTTTTACTTGCATCCAGTTCGTCTCATGGTTCCACATATCCTTCAATTCTTCATGTTCCTTCCCCCATCACCCACCACTTCTCCCACCCCCCAACTCTCTTTCTCTCGCACCACTCTCTCTCCCCAACTATCTCATTCTCTCTTAACACTCTCCCTTACTCGAAGAAAACCCCGATCGATCGGGTCAATGAAGACCACCACCATCTCCGACGAATTTCAGACCACCAACACCGCCATTAAAATCTCTTTTTCCCCTTGAACTCATCTCTGACGTCAGTTTGGAGAAAAAGGAACCCCAAACGTCGATTCGACGAGCTCCGACACGGAGCTACTTTGCCGGCGAGTTTTGCCCGTGTACTGGGGGAAGATCTTGGCGGGGAGGTTCTCGTCGGAGATGGAGGCGCAGTGGAGAGGGAAGTGGCTGCGGGTGATGGGGATGGGGGAAGGGGTGGGTGATGGAGGGTGGGCACGGCCGGGGAAGAAGGGGAGGAAGGGGATCTAGGTTTTGTTTTTTTTTTTTCTTTTTTAACTTTTCTTTAAATAATTTTTTTAATTTTTTAATTTTTTAAATTAAGTTTTTAGTCACGTAGCACAAATGTGGCAGCCATGTCAGCACACATGGGAACCTTATATTTGCCACGTTATCACTTAACAGTTTACTTAACAGATTTTCTAACGGATGCATGAAATTGAAATAAAATGATAAGTAAATGTTTTAAAGATGATGTAAGGAATTGAAATCGACCTCAAACATGAAAGATTAAAATGTAATTTACCCATAAATTAATGAAAAATGATTTTCTATATTTTGTAGGCGATGAGAAATACAATTTTCTATTATCACGTTTGCTAAAGACGAGAAAATAAATATGAAATCGTTCGACAAATTTGTAATCTTAATATCTGGTTAGGGATGAAATTGAAAAAAGAGAGCTAAGTAGAAAGAATATTAGCCCCTCCGCACGTGAGTGGGTGCGTGCGAGAGGCAGATTCTTTTCTTAGGGATCTCGTGATCTTATCTGTCTATCGTATATTGTATGGTCAGTTTTCTTTAGGTACTATTCATATTTAATTTTAAATTTTGAAATAAATTATAACCGCACGATGTACGATGAATAGGTGAGATCACAGGATCCCTAGGATTCCTAGGAAAATGATACAACGAGGATCCTCTTTGTTTTTTTTTTAAGGGAGTTTTAACGAAAAGTCCATGGTACTGTTCACTTTAACGAAAAATCACATTTTTACACTAAAAAGTCAAACCTGCTACTATTCACTTTACCTTTTATTTTATCTTTATCATAAAAATTTAAAGTTTTCACGTTATTTACATTAGTTTTTTTTTTTTTTTAATTCATTGGTCCTGCACGACCCTAAGATTATATGTTTGCGTGAGACGGTTGTCAAAAGTTCCAAAAGAGATCATATTAATAATAAGAAATTAAATGAAGGTCACCAAGAGCATTCGTATATGTACTCCCTCTAGAAAGCTCGCTAATTCAGAACGTTAAAATGTATTCTTTCAATGTGTTGTGTGTACCTATTGAATAATTATGACTCATTTTTGCTATAGAATAGGGCATTAGGGTTCAGTCATTGAACATTGTATATCATCAACACCATCATACTCACGTGCATGCGAAATGCCTTTCTTAAATCACTGGTGCTATGCGCTCTTAAAGATGTCTGGCATTAGTTGTTTTTCCTTGTAATTGTCAAAATGCCTCACTGAACAAATTGAAAACGACTAAAGCAAGAATTACAATGAAAAACAACTAACACAAGACATCTTTAGAGCGTAACAAATTTGTTGATAAATATGTAAACGAAAATAACATTAATGTTTAATTGTATGGTGTAAGTCACATTTTTTCAAGTTATCATAACCAAGTGATGGTATATTACGATACATTGATCCAAAACAAAAAGATGAACAATATGTACATACAAAAACATAAAGTCTACTTGTAATGTGATGGTGCCATTATCAAATCATGGTCGTGCAAGAGATTTTTTTTTGGGTAAAGTACAAAAAATTACCTCAACTATTGGTGTCGCGACACTTTCATATCTCATTTTTTAAAATTGACAATGTTATACCTCATCCTTAGAATTTGTGCCAATGTCATACCTCCGTCATTTTTTTTGTTAATTTTTCTATTAAGTGCTGACGTGGTTTGATCCGGAGCCCATTTTCTATTAAAAAATGATTAAAAACTAAAAAAAATCATTTAATATTTTTTTAAATATTAAAATAATAAAGAAAAGTTAAAAAAAAAAAAAACCAACAATCAGTTCGTTCCCTTCCCCCCTTCTCTCTCTTCTCCCCATCTTCTTCTTCTTCCCCCTTCATGCAACTTCAACCTAGAAAAAAAGAAGAGAAAAAAAAAAACTAATTTGTCTTCCCCGCTCCCCACCCCCTATTCTCCCTGCACCCAACCTCCCTACCTTCCCACCCACCCTCTGCACCCAACTTCGCACCCACTACCTGCAACCCAAAAAAAAAAAAAACCCCAGATCTCGTTGAGGTGGAATCAGGAAACCTTCGAAGGTTGAGAACTTGGGCGCGGAGAAAATGGGGGGGAATGGATGTGGAGGGAAGAGGGTGGGTATGTGGGGATGGGGGGCAGGATGGAAGAACTGGGTGTCCTTTTTTTTTTCCTTCTCTCTTTTCTTCGTCTTCTGCAGGTTGGGGGGGGACGAGCTGGGTGTCCTTTTTTTTTTCCTTCTCTCTTCTTCTTCTTCAGCAGGTTGGGTGGGGGGGAACAAACCTTTTTTTTTTCCCTTCTCTCTCTTCTTCTTCTTCAGGTTGGGTGGGGGGAGGGGAGACGGACGAACTCGGTTTCCATTTTTTTTTCTTTTTTTTCTTCTTCTTCTTCCTCCTTCTTCTTCTTTCTGGGTTGGGGGAGCGGGTTGGGGTTTTTTTTTTTTTTTTAATTTCTTTTCTTCTTCTTCTTCTCTTCCTCATCCTTCTTCTTTCTGGGTTGCAAGAAGGTGGGTTTGTGGTGGTAAGAGGGGGACAAACTGGGTTTGGTTTGGATTTTTTTTTCTTTTCTTTTTTCTTCTTCTTCTTCCTCATCTTTCTTCTTCTTTCTGGGTTGCAGGAAGATGGGGAAGAGAGAGAGGGGGAGGGACGACTTTCTATTAAAAATGGGAGAGAGAAGGGAGAGAGAGAGTTTAAAAAAAATTATTTTTTTAATTTTTACTTACTAAAAATATATTTAATTATTAGTGAGTGGATCCTGCATGTAGCCACGTCAGCATTTAACGGAAAAATTAACAGAAAAACTGACAGAGGTATGATATTGGCACAAATTTTAAAGATGAGGTATGACATTGTCAATTTTAAAAGATAAGGTATGAAAGTGTCGTGACATCAATAGTTGAGGTAGTTTTTTGTACTTTATCCTATTTTTTTAATCACGAGCGCTAAGCGGTTCGAAATATATATTGTGCCAGTTGTTCTCATGCAATAGTGAAACAACACGTGCGTGTGAGAGGATTAAAACAACCTTTTTTTAGGAGGCATTAGGTGTTTATTTTTCTATCGACATTCATATTTGTTGAGAGCTGATTGGCGAATTTCATTTATTTGCGAGGGGCATTTTCTTAATTGCTCATGCGGCTTGAAGGTCGCTAGCAAAGGAATCCAGGGGTCCTCCCAGATTTTGATCCTAGAGCCCTCACCAACAAAGACCCAAAGTGAAAATCTGTGAAATATATTGCAGAAATATACCAATTATTTATATGATCAAATATATCAAATCAAATGTATAATCACTATCAAACTTATGAAATTTAAATTGGGAAAAAGGAATAAGAAAATCTGGCCTGTGAACCAAAGAGAGGTGCGATGTCGCTGCCCTAAAGTCGTAGACGCCTCCCTACGTGCAGGTTATGGTGGTGCCTACAACTCCAAGATACAACCCAAAGCCTCACAGGATGTCTGATCCAATATGCACGTCAACGGCAGACGGGATTGCCAAGTAGTGATCAATTGCCCAAGAATTATGAAGTAAGAATGTAAATAGACTGACAGAGATATGAGAATTGAGGAAGACATAAAAGTTTTAAGCGTATATTGTTTTCTGTCTGAGGTTTCATATTTAAAGAACTCCTCATACCCTTTTAAAAGGAATATGACTTTTCAAATAAAACACAACTCTTAAATATTATAAATAAATAAAATAAAATAATAATAAGTTTGGAATCT